AAACGTTTTTACTAACAATTGTTATATTTGTTATTTGGCAATAAATTATCTAAACATTTTATTAAAAAAAACGTAGTCTAACTGTTTTTATTTTATTCAATAAATTCTCAAATAAATTCAAATTTTAATACAAGACTTTAAGCACGCTTTCATGAAACGCCACTGATAAGGAGTGAATAATTACGAATTCTGATTATTTGTGGTGACCAAATATTATTTGCTAAAACGTATCGTGAATGCATTTGTTGTTACAGCTGGCTCACTGTAAAGGACCGCATATCATCGAGTAAAATGTACGGAGATCAATAAAAATGTTGTGAACTGATATTGTGTTGATTTTCTTATTAGTAAACGGCGTATTTGATTTAGACCTCGTACAATTCGGCTGCCATATTAAATGTATTAGTCACCTTTTTCAATATCTTGTGGGACTATAGAACGCAGAACCGGTTCAGGCCTTTTCTATAACTATATGTATATAGTCACATGCTTGTTGATGTGCAGTGTATTGTTTTCAAAATTTTATGAAACATTAAAATTTTTAATTTATTGAAATAATAAGTTTTAAAATTATCTGCAAATCAAAAGGTATAAACAAATAGTTGTTTTCATTAGATATTCCATATCATAGCTAGACGTATGTGTCATAACAAAAACATGTTTACATGCTTTTCGTTGTTCATATTTCACTTAAGAAAGACAGGAACTTCTTTTGTTTTGACACAATTACATAGTTATGGAAGTAGAAAATTTCAACTATTCCTACTCTGGTCTTGTTTTTTTTACATTGCAATCCGAGGTGTCGGTCAAGGTAAACTTATTTTGCATACTCTTTCAATCTACCATATTTGAATTATATAGGAACCGGGGTCCGTTTTCTATCGTTTGTTCACTTTTTTGCAATAATCACAAGTACAAAGTTCTTTCCGATTCAATTTAATGAATAAATTATACTTTTTATGGGTTTTCCGTGATCTTTGTTTGATTTAATAGTTTCTAATAAACAATTTTATATTTGAATACTATTTTTTTACATGATCATTCATTTTATATTTGTTTTAGAATCATTTTCTTGGGTTCCATATCTGTAATGATTTTTTACCTACGTTTCTAATATAACGAACTTGTACAGTAAATAATAATAAAAATAATCAGAGAAAAGTACATTTGATAACATATTTGTAAAATGTAGGCAACATTTATGACTGCCAATCATTGTTTATATACAACCCCTGTTTATCGTAACCATTTGGTAATTGCAGTCTCCTTTACTCTCTCGTAATTTTAACTTTTCTTGTCAATCTAATCTTCCACCTAAGCACCCTCATCGGTGCCTTAAATCATAGATGGTCGTGTAGCGTGTTTATAATTTTAATTTTATTGGAATCTGTCTGTCACATAATACACTGCTTGCCTTTTCCTGTTTCATCCATCTCGCTATAATTATACTGCATTCCCTAGGTATATCTTGCATAAGTACTTTCGCTTCCTAGAGCATCTTCAGAGGCATTTCGTCAAATTCTGGGCTATCCAATAATTGCAGATAAACATAAAATTAAACATACAATTGAACATAACACTACACTTATTCTTCTTTGAGTACCGTGCCCAAATTTTAGGCGTGGGTAGCTTCCATGACGATCTGCCGATATCGTTCTTGATCTTGCGCGGCATGTGTTAATTCATCTGCTGATAAGCCAGTCCATTGACGAAGGTTTCGGAGCCATGATTATTTCTTTCTACCAATTCCTCTTCTTCCGTCGATCTTTCCGTTGTGTATCAACTGCATTATATAATTTGCCCCAGATATTCGAGTTTTCTCTTTTTTATCATCTTTATTAAGTCACCTTCACCTTGACCTACTCTGTTCAAGACTTCTCTGTTTGAAATGTGTTGAGCCCATGATGTTAACCACATCTCGAAGGCTTCTAATTTGTTTATCATGTTAACCTTCATAATCCAGGTTTCACATCCGTACAGTAAACCAGGATACACATACAATTGTAGGAACTTAATTCTCAGCTACAAGTTCAGCTGACACTTGCTCAGAATAGATCTAAGTTTCATAAATGCTCCTCTTGCAATTTATATACGAGTTTTAATTTCTTCATCTGGATTTAGTGTCTCGTTTATCCAACATCGTAAATATTTAAAATAATTAACTTTTGTTATCGGTTCAATATTGACAATTAGTTGTATAGCGCCGAGGTCTTGTTTACTAACCACAAGTAACTTTGTCTTTGTTGTATTTATGCTTAGTCCGTTATTAGAACATTCTCTAGTGACTCGATCTATAAGGAATTGAAGATCTTCGATACTTTTAGCCATGATTGCGGTGTCATCTGCATATCTGATGTTATTAATAGTTTTTCCCCGATTCGAACTCCACATTGCCCTTCCAAGGCTTTTTTAATAATTATTTCTGAGTAAACGTTAAACAAAGTTGGGGACAGTACACAACCCTGTATAACACCTCTTTGAATACAAATTGTATCTGTTTTTTTGCCGTCTACCAGAATAGAAGCTTCTTGATACACTACACTACACTAAACAACTTTAATTACAAGATTTAATTAATAAAACAGTGCTCGATATCTGCCTTTCATTTTATCAAAGTTCATTTATTCGAGCATTCAACCATATATCAATATTATACTTTATTTAAAAAATGTTAAACCATCTAGTGCCATTTAAATACAAGGGACAGATAATGTCATTGTAGTAGCTTTGCTTCTATATAATTCAAGATTGCAAGATTCTTTGACTAACTGAAAGGATTTGAATTAGTCACCGATGTAGGAAAGGATATGTTGATCATCTCAAACCCAGCAAGCTGTTTCTGATTAGCGAAAAACGAGCTAAAAACCTATGTCCAGAAGTGGACGCATACAGATTGATGATAATTAATTGTTCAGTATAGCCAAGAAGGCACTGTTTCACCAAATTGCAGAAATTACAGAAAGTTTGATGCATTGTGTATTTGGATGCAGTTTTATTTTACTGTTGCCAATATTCAGTAATTATTCGGAAAATATTTGCGCCGATATATCATTTTACAATTGTATTCTCATGTTAATGGTAAATCAAACTGTTGACATTTCGCAATCAAAATAAATATAAAAATGAACGAAGTAAAACCCACCTGTTTTTTATTTTATGTATTATAACGTTTTATAGAATTTTTTTTATATCAATAAACGTAACCTAAAAATTACCATTGAAAATGTGATGTAACAGTGTAAAAAATACTGTTTGTACCTTAAATTTGTGAAAACACAAATACATTATATCATTAAAGAAACATTGAAGATTGAAACATTTATGCTACCTATTTTACACAATCCAATCTCAGTTTAAACAAAATTGTATAAAATTTACCGCAATCTTTTGAAAACTTATGAAACTCGAAAAGTAATAACAACCCTTTCGTTATAAAAAAATCTTGAATTTATAATTAAAAATAATGTATTTAAATATCCTTTTATAACTCTATAATATTCTTTTAAAATAACGAAACAATTAAGGAAAAAATAGTGAAAAAAATTAGCAATTAATTGAAAAATAACAAAAATACCCGGCATAACTCCTTAATGTTATCTGTACAAAGAAATGAAATCACTTACCATCGCGCGAAGGACTGTCGGCGTCTGCGATAAACTGGAGATGTTTACAGTCCGATGTCTCGTTTCGATTTTCGATCTGTGTTTGTCAGTGTGTGTGTAGGGATAAAAATTTGTACCTAAAAGTTCTCAGAGGTGGCCATAATCTAGTACAGCTACAGGAAGCATACCGGAAATAAATCAAGATTTTAAAACGGTAACGTTCAGCCTAGATACCAAATTGCGTATACAATTCCACAAAAATTTGATATTCTAAAGCATTTTCTCTGCTTTCGAGGCAATTAACAATAAGTGTATTTCTTTGAACTTGAAAATAGTTTACCATGTGTTAGTCAGTTTAAAATTGTGAATTTACTGAATAGAACAAAAAATACTGTAACCTTTTAAAGTAAATAAATAATTAGAATATATAATTAAATAAGATCATATTATAATATAGTAATAAAATATTAGACGTAAAATATGTAAATAAATACTAAATATTTTCCCAAACAATCAATTTAACTGGATATTTAAGATTGTTTAAAAAGATTAATATATATATATATATATATATATATATATATATATATATATATATATATATATATATATATATATATATATTAACGACATTGACTGATTTTAGTAATTAAATAATCAATTGCCAATCCATTGTACATATTTTAAAACTATCAAAAACTGATTCGTCCAAAAAAGACTCAATTTTATACAAAATGAAGCCATGTATTGCAAATAAATGTTTTAATTTCAATTAAAAATGTTACTTCACATATCAGACAACTTTTCTTCATTAGTGAGTTTCTATCGTCAGACTAGGAAAAGCTTGGGTCAATTAATGATTAATTAACCAGTAGTTAATTTACTGATGTCGAAACCAAAATGTAACGAGCTGTTTGGCACGATTTCCCTTAGTCGTAATGTTTTACAGTACGAGAAACGATATTTATGAAATTTTCTTTGTTATGTAGAGACTGTATTATTTATTATTATTTATGTCATGATCTTTCGCTTCATGAAATAATAAATTATAGCTTTTCTATGTTTCGTATAGTTTTTTCATATCAACCTGTCACGTTAATTTTACTAAGTGTCACGTGTTTACTCCATTTTTTTTAATACCCAGTCATTTTATGCTTTCGAGTTTGCATGTTTTTCTGATATTTCGGTTGCTTTCCTATCCATTTACTGGATATCCCGTAAGGCATTTCTTTTCGGTTTCTGTATTTAATATTTGTTTATTTCTTTCCCTCAAATATTTACCATTTAGTTCAAACTGTTTACTTATCTATATTTTTATGTAGTTGATCCACGTTCTAATATTCTTCTTTTTTGTTTACAGATATAGAAAGATAAAAGTAGCAACACAAAACCGCCAAGATGCACGGGATGATGAAAATTTTTTCCAATTTCAAAGATTTCTACAATGACATAAATGGTGCGACGTTGACTGGTGCTATAGATGTAATAGTTGTTGAGCAGCCTGATGGGTCCTATAACTGCTCTCCGTTCCACGTGCGATTCGGAAAATTGGGAGTGCTTAGAAGTAGAGAGAAAGTGGTAAGTGCTTTCGAAAACTGTTTTTATTATTTACTGTTATATCGAGTTTTATTACTACAATATGTGAGTTTAGAGGTTACGAAAACATTATTCATCGATTTTTTTATCTATCTTCTTCTATCATAATTGAAAGAATGACACAAGTTGTGGGCATAAAATGTGACATCATAGATGAAATAGAGATTAAAAAGTGTGTGTAAAAATAGAATCTTTGGTCATTTATATATAGGTAAGATTTCCTTCTTTAAAACCTTCTTCTCATATTTTGACATAGTCGTAAGTATCTAGATTGTTTATCTACAACGTCTACAGGTGACACCTTAATGAATTTAATTAGACTTCCGCTTTTATGTTTAATTAAACTTATGGCCGACTGCCAGCTGGCAGACCTAATTTACGAAAACATATTTACACCTGTGCCATATATTTTATTATATTAATCAATCGATGTGCCAAGGAGCATTGACAATGAACCTGTCTGTTTTTGGCAAGAGATCGTATTTTAAGAGAATTTTCTAGAATAATTTATTGGATAGATACCAATTTATCATTTTTAATATTACGCATGAATGGTTAAGACGATATTGTTCTACCATAAGGTTTTATTGATTTACTTATCATTCCTTTGCATGTATCTATATAGCCTCACTTTCTTTAGTTCCACTACTCCGCATGGGTCATACCCACATGGATTCTCTTATGAGACATCTACCTGTCTTACTCTATGCTGTTTTTGGTCTTTCTCTTTTACTTCTTTCAACAATTCTTTTTGTTTTAAAATTTTTGCTGAAGTAAAAAGGTTCAAAACTGGCCCAGATAGGCTTGTAACTGTCGGATTCAACAGAGCAAGGTGGCATAACAACTACTTGCTACTGCTACTTGCTGACTAAAACCACTCTCTTTTCTGACCACAGTTGTGTCCAGTGGTAAGACAAATATTAATATTTTTGCCGACTTCCATTGGTCATGATGTTATCTAGGAATTTTTTGTCCGTTTTATCATATTCTGGAAATTTTAAGACGTGAGAATTAATTCCGTTTTCTTTTGTCTCGTTCTTTTAAATCTTGTAGTGTAGCAATTTGGGTACTGTAGCGGCCGTGGCGCAGTGGCTATGATACTGGACGGCCCGGGTTCTATTTCCGGCGCTGACAAATTTTTCAATCTCTAATCTAACTGAGCCGCCATCGTGCTTCGGAGGGCACGTAAAGCCATCGGTCTCGGCTACGTTAGTGGTCGGAAAGTTATGTTAGGGGCGCTTGTGCTACCTAAAAACCCTAACACTAGAGCTACAAGGTTACATGACCTTTACTTTACTTACTGTGTGTATTGCGTCATATAAAAAAATATCAATATATACGTGTATATATGTGTTTTCGGAAGCACTGTCAGGAATTGTGTACAGTAGTTGGTGTTTTTTTGTGCTAGACCTAACCAGGTTACCGGATTTAGCAGCAGCGTTCTTGTCCAGTTTTACTGTAGCCACTCTTCCAAAATTTATTTCAATTCGAACCTGTTGTTTCTTTCCTAATTCATAAAGGCATGCTTTTTACATTGCGGCTGTTATTACTTGTGCAGCTACAATTTAAACGGTTCTATAAGCACATATTATCTTGTGGATTGGCTTTAGTAGTAATAGGTTTCGTTTTGTAGTTGTTTTTAATACAAAATCTTCTCATATTGGTTCATCTCACAGGATGATATGTGTAAATTGAATAATTGCAAAACGTCCTTTTCTTTGTATCTTATATTATAAATATCTCGTTTTTTTTTTTAATTGTTAAAGTCCTAATTCGTTTCCAATCCAATACAGTCTGCTGAAGCTGCAGTACTCGGGACATATAATGAGAAATCAAGGCAGAAAAAGGGCCTTAGGACGAAGAAGAATATCCTGGTTTGTTAACCTGATAGCATAGTATAGAAACCTCAACACAGCTATTCCGTATAGCAACCAACAAAGTCATCATAGCCAGAATGATCGCCAACGTTCGCAACGAACAGGCCACCCTAAGAAGAAGAAGAAGTTCCAAAAGATCTTAGTTACCACTGAAGTTGCAGTTTAATTGATGGGTATCAAACTTTGTGTTTGTTTCACATTGTTGTTTCCTATACCCAGTCTATAATAATTGTTGTATCCTATAGAAGTTGGTACAGGTTTGCCGTGTCGTAACTATACCAGGCTCTCCTCGTGATTGCCCATATAGTTTTTGTCTTTAGAGATATCAATTGTAAATGTCTATTTTAATCAGGAATTCTCTTACTAGTGAATGCTCGGCCAACAATCCTGTTACCATTCTCAATTTATTCCTGCCGATATAGAGCGGTTCCTCTATTCGTTTTGTTCATGGTCCATCAATAAAGATTTTCCCATGTGTTTCTTTTTTGATTCTCTCCCAATAACGGTCATGACTTTCTCGGATTCAGTCCATACAGCACTACGTACTGTAACCGTTGGTTGGATCCTGTTTTAGCAATTTGCTTTTTCGTTGCCTTCTATGCACTTATACCCAGACAAGCTCAGCCTTCTTACGGACTCCTAGTTCATTCAATTCTATGATGTAGTCTCACACCAGTTTGGACGTCACTTCCTGACACGCAAGTGCCTTTAGTTCCGCTTGATTGTCAGACAATATATAGATCTGCTCTTTTTTATCCGCTCTCTGATTATTTGCCTTTGCACTACTGCTGTTGATGTGGTACACTTGGCACTAGTTACCCCCCTACAATGCAAGTCTTTGCACCTTGCTGAGTTTGGCTTTTGAAGTTGTTTGAAGTCCACCACATCGTCGTTGCATAGGTAATTAAGGGATTGATCACCATGATTTAATTCCGATTTTTTCCATACATTCGTTTTCCCTTTAATCCAGCAAACTAATTTTTAAAATAAGGGTATGGAAATATGTAAATACAAGCCGCTAAATTGATTTTTGATAATTATTTAATGGATTTTTCATAATACAATGACAATACAATTATCAAGTTAATTAAATAACAAAGATTAAAAGAATTGTACAAATTTAAATTTATTTATGTAAATGTAATTAAGACAATACATTTGCAGTATTATCCAAAGCATGAAATTATTAATTCCTTTATCGTTAAAAAGTGTTTATATACGCTCTCTTGCGTTGTTTTTTGCACAGAACACTTAAAGAGCTAACATTTTTTTCTTCTTATTTGATAGAGTTTTTATAGGAGTGAAGTTTTATTTAGTTAGTTTGTGGCGAAGTTTTTATATTTAGATTACGTGGTGGCCCTTATTGCTACTGAAAATCAGATAGTGTTACCGTGATTGTTGGAATTGTGATGTTTGAAAGTGTTTGGTACTTCCTCTCGAGTACATTGTATATACAAATTTCAATCAATACTTTCTGGACCGGGAATAACAACTTTTAAGCAACAGTCAACTTTATTCATCTTTTATTAAATTAGGAATATTTTATCCAACCTATTTTGCCGTGAAACATTCCTCTCTAAGGTCTGCAACAAGCCAGTACTCGAGGTCTGATCTAAAGAGTTTGGTGAGTACGGAAGCAATTCATATACTTTTATTATCGTTCTTATACTTGCGACCATATCTTAGTGAAACACAATGTTTTTCTTCATTTGTGGCCGCCTTTTCATTTAAAAGCATTGATAACGGTAAAATAATAATAACGGTAAATAATAAACAATATAATTGTTTATTTCCCATGATAATAGATGAACAAATAACTTTCAAATATAATTCAAAATACAGAAATCAAAACCTTTTATGTGTTTTTGTTCTGTGAGCTGATTTGGTGTTTTTGACTGAGCAAGCGTGGTATCGGTTATAAAACATATCTTTCTCATCGAATATATCCATTGCAACAAAGTGAATAAATACACTGCCTTTGATGTTTTCAATTCCTCTCTAGTCTATCTAACGCAACTTCAATTTATGATCGCCAAAAACGGTTGTGTAGACTTCTTGACGTTTTTCAGAATAACTTGAACAACAGAACAAATTGAAATGACGTAATTTCTCAACACGTTGCCTACCGTAGAGGGTTTTGTAATACTTTCCGTTCACGCCTTAGTCACCGAGACGGCACCACAGTTACATTAAAATTCTCGGTCAAATAGACCTCACTGGAGTGCAGAGCAATTTTTTTTCTCAGTCACATAGACCGAGACGGCAGACAACGTGTTGACTGTTATAACCTAACCTGTGCTGAGGTAGCAGAGCCCGAATTACACGTACAGCCATTTCTTTGCTTTATGCTTTATGTATTCTTAGTGTCAGGAAACAATGCTTTATCATTACGCAATTGCAATATTTTTTTGAAAATTGCAAAGTAACGTCGTGCAAACCACTATTATAGCTTGTAAACTAATAGTTTGACTAGTTTGAGTGACCTCAAATATATATTCCTCTGAAATGCGTCGACTTATGAACTACTATTCCTGTAAAGTTCTAAACACATTTAATTACCAGTGTAATATATATATATATATATATATATCTATATATATATATATAATATATATATATATATATATATATATATATATAGATGTTTCAGGTTAAAAGTCTATTTGATTCTACTAATGTTGTTATCTAAAAAAAATAGTAGATTCAAGAAAAAGATTCAAAAAAATAGAAAAGATTCATTTTTACCACTTTACAATATACACGATGTTTACTGTGCTAACTTTCTGTACACAGCATCCAATCAACGAATACTATTCGTTGATCTAATCCAGTGGTTGCAATAAGTAGTATCTCTATTACTCATAAAATTTTCTAAAGTCCGATTTAATTATCGTACAATGATACAGTTAAACATAGGAATTTCAACACCATTCGATGTATAATTAAAAAAGTATTTGCTTTGTTTGTAACAGCTGATTATCTGTTTATAATTTAAGTCAGCGTTGCTGATAATAATACGATAGCCTTGTTGTCGGCTGCGGGAAAAATAAAGACATACTTAAATGTTTTTTTTATAGATTATTTTTAAGATTTTGACAAATATTG